CAGGCAAGTCATTAAGATTATAAATTGCAAAGAAGGTTCCAGTCTGCATTGGCAGAGTAATTTCCTCACCAGGAATTCCCCAAACCAATGAAATTGTAGGTCCAGTCACTATCCCTGTGGGATAGGTAATTTAGAAGTATTGTCATACTAATTTTTTTTTTCTTTTCTGAGATTGAGCCTTTATTACTGAGCTTCAAAGCATGCTGGCCACACCACAAGAAGATATAGTATATCATCCCTTTCTGAAATGACGTATTGGTTCTGAAAGGTATAAATACAGGGAGTCAGCACAAGAAGTATCTTTGGAATTTTCCCAAGTAACAGTTATAATCTTTTATCCTTATGAGTTATTCTACACAAATGAAGAAGTTGTACTGACTAATAGAAACATCCCCACTCAAATCTAAAAATTGTTTTTCCCTTGCCTGTAGTTCTAGAGTATGGTGTTCATGTACTTACTGTTCCTCACATATGGTGTCTCATTTTAAAGTGTCAGTGAAACAATAAACACACACTTTTTCTTTATTCTTTCAATCAGAAAATATAAAAATACCTTTGGCATTAATTCCAAGTAGATGAATGTGTTATGGCATTCCTATTAGCATTTTCACAGGCTTGACAACGTACCAGATTGTATTAATATCTTACCTGTAGGAAAATGCTTTCTTCCAGTTTGGTGCAAATTACCAGAGCCTTTCAGCCACTCTTCCTCAACCCAGAAGTAGTATATCATCATTACTAGTTTCTGGACCAAGAAATAACATTTGTCAGTGCCTGAATTGCTCTTTTACCTTCTGAGGTTTGAGAATCCACTTTGCTTTGGAAATGGGTTTATCTGAATGGAGTTTTAGAAATAGAGAACAAAAAAGAGGCAAAAGTTTTAGGGAAATGCAGGATGTCAAGCTTTCTAAGATTAGGGTGCAATTGACTCAAGAATGTTTTTGTAAGAAAATTTATGGACAAACTAATAAATAGGTATGGGATTTGGAGGTGAATTTTCACCACGCTACTAGGTTGCAGATGATTTTTTTTTGTAAGATTGACTTGAGACCATACAAACCAACAAGAACCTTCTTGACTGACAATGTTGGATGCCAGGGAAAAGAAAAATAATTCTAATGTGCAAAATATATGCTTTGACTATCTGGAACAAATTCACTCTCTATCACTTGATATTCACTCTCTTGAGACATTCAACATGACCCAAATCTTTAGGGAAAATAAAACTGAGATATTGGAAAAATATCCAAAGGCCACCTACTCTTCCCTCTCAATTCATTTCCCCTTTCCTGTTTTACCCATCCTTCATAACTTTTGTCAAAGGTTGAATGCAGAAAACCATAAAGATGTTTGGTGTAATAAGTGAAAACATGCGTATGAGCCAGTTATGACATGATGGTCTCACCTCAATTTATTGGTTCTCTAGAATCCAAATTTAATTACCAGAACATAAAATATTATGGTATATAAGTCTCCAGGAGCTATATTATTATGTAGCAGGAGCCAGTATTTCAAAAGTATTTTTTTTAGTCCTGTCTAAAGATATTTGTATTATTTTTTAAGGTAACATAAAGTGTGGCCACCCATCTTAATCTTTTCCAAGGCTTAAGTACCTCTGATTGTTTTCCTACTTTACTGCCAAAGTATATGGAAACCTGTTTGGCACTGGAAGATTTCTGCTTACACTTACCAGACCTTTCAGTGTATTGGCAGCAAAAGTTGTTACCTTCTTGTGTCTGATCAGTAACACACATATTATTCTGTTCAATGACACGGTATCTGTGATATCATTCATGGTATTTAATTACAATTTATGGTATTCATGAGACTATTCCTTGTTGAGAATAGTGTCATTTTCTGTGTTAAGAATCAATCTCATTTTTGGTTTAAATTTCATGCTGATTGCTTTAGAAAATGTGTAACTAAATGTCTTTATGAATTTAACAAAGGTGTATTTGTATTTGATAAGATTTGCTCAGCTTTGCAAGTATTTCTTGTGTGTATATGCATATATGTATATTAAGAGGAATATTTGCTTTTCAATCAATCTAGCAAATGGAACTCAGGGCAAATGAACTCATTCTCATGCACATGTTTCTAACCCAGTTCTTCCTAATGATTAAGATAAATTAAAATAAAAACCAACAAGAACATGAAAAGATGCTAAGAATGATGTTAATGTTGCAATGTAAACCAATTTAGATTTTCTAATGACCTTCCATCCTTTCTAATTTTTTAACAGTATGAAAGATCAAAATCATTAATATCAGAGAATGATATTCTTGGTGGTGGGAATAACCCTTAAACTTTTATTCTAAATTATTTTTTAAAGTTGAGGTGGGGAAGAATGACTCTTTTTCTGATTCTTGGAAAGGTCCAAGGTTGAATCTTAGCTATGCTGTCCTCCTTACATACCCCTTATAATCAAGGCAGTTGACCATCTTTTTCACCTATTCTAATTCTAGAATTGTCTTACTATGTCACTTTAATGATCTCAAAAGGGGGGTGTGGTGCAGAAAGGAGGTGGATATTAAAGGGGTTTGGAGTGAATGAATCAATGCCATTGCTGACTTCTATTCTTATTCCACACAGAGATTGGATCATTTTCAAATTTGGTTGCCCTTGATTTCATTAGAATCACCTACCCTGCACAATAAATTACTAAGAATATTCAGGTTTATATTTTCTGATCAATTCCCAGATTAATTTCCTAATGAGAAGAATGAGCTTATTATGATAGGCAAATGGAATGGCAAAGAGTTTTAAATATAGGAAGTGAGTTGTCTCCTTTGGCATTCAGAGTTTCCCTTAATAAACCCAGTACCACTTGGAATCCTGATATAGTCTCACAGTTCCATATTTTTTGGCTATTTTGTTGGTGCATGTGTGTGTGGGGAAGAACTTCAGGGTTCCAGAGCCTGTGATATCCCTTGTACTGTCAGTAGAAGGGAAGATTTGGAATTAGCTCCCTCTAGAATACTTTAGGCTATTTATCTTTCAGACTTCTGAACATTTTGTCTGGCATTTTGACTGGCATTTTTTCTGTCTTGGGTTAGTTGACCTGTAGATACATATAATCTGTCAGAATAGACCCATCATTATAAAGAGGATCATTATTGTAGGATAGAACATAATAGACATTCACTTAGAAAAACTTGGTTTCCTTGATTCAAATCTCAGTAAAGTACCAGTTGCCTTTCATATTTTCTCAGAAAAATTATGCCTTAAAGAAAACTTAAAAGTAATTTTTGGCAATGTGTGCCTTCTGGATCTCTCTCCCTTTGGACACTATCATAGCACTTAGAATTATAGTGTTTTCTGGGCTTGGCCAACCCAAGATAGCATTGTACATTACAACCTGGAGAAGAAAAAAATCTCTTATTTAAAATTTAGCTCTTTCATGATAACCACCTCTCCTTGGCCATTTCAGGAGTACTACTAATGTACTCCTAAGTGCACCTTGTTTTTTTTATTTTACTGTTAAGATAATTGAGTTACCTAATAACAAGAAGTGGTTCAAAGAAGGAGTGGATGGAGAAGTGTCAACCTTCCCTCAAAAAGAAAAAGCAAAATATTAGTGAATAAACCTCAAGTCTTAATGTTATCATCTCAACATAGAAGAATCTACAAATGTTGATGTACTTAAAGAAGGAATACAAGAGCTACCCCTTTATTCATTTGACTTGATATTAGAGACTTAGCCAACAACCTTGCTTCCATATTTCTCATTGTTGTTTTTGACCACCTATTTTCAGACGGAGCTCTCACTTTTTAGTGCAGATGAGCTGCTGGAGTCCAGGAGGGCTACTGCAAATAATGAATTAGAATAGGCATATAACCAAATGATTTATGCAAGGTTGACTGACTATACAGCATATTTTCAAGAATGGTGCTTCATTTTTTAGTCATTTGAAGCTCATTTTGTAGGGGTATACCTCTCTAATTCTACACTCTTGGTCTATTTTAATTAGAGAAACCATCCAAGGGTGTTAAAAACAGATCCAAGTACAGAGGAAAAAGATGCTCCAAAAGGAATTGTGTTCCAATATAGTAATTAGATGTTTCATTCTTGGAAAATGTATTTCTACTAGCCTCTATGAATAAATGATTTTTCATGAAGGATTTCTTATAGGGAGAAAGGACAACCATTCTTTCCAGGGTGACCATATGGATTTAACTCTTATTAATGAGACTGAAATTTCTTTGACCAGTGTCTGTGAAATGAACTGAAAATAAATTTTAGTATTTTTCATCATGGCTAGTTACTTTAGATCTCCAATCCTCTCTTACATATGGAACACATTAATGGCCCTTTGAATGTAGATATACCAACTTTACAACATTACAAACATTTAGCATAAGGGATCAAACTCCCCTTTGGGGCCCTGGTTTAAAACTTGTAAAACTATTTCTCTTATTAAAAAGTGCATAACAGTCAGATTCAAAATTCTCTTCTCCTAACCATCAGCTTGTAAGACAAATGTCAAATAATGTATTGAGACCAATGAAGTGCATGACCTCATATTTCCTAATTCTTCAGGAGATACTCTTGGGAAAAAGATGGCAGAAGTGACTTAGATCTCTAGCTAACTTCTGATTTATCAACTGATTTAATAGTATGCCCAAGGGTAAATTTGATGGATTCATAGGTGAGGGAAAGTTTTGAGTCTTAAGCCCATTCACAGGCTAGGAGAGAAAAAATCCTGGTGGAATAGGCACATGTGTAAATGAATGGACTTGCTGTCCATTTTCTTGCTGAGTTTTGTTCCCCAAAGAATGACTGAGGACTGCCTAGTGAAGAACAACCTACTTTCAGGTTTCTCATCCAGGACCTTTTAGAATGTCATTCATAGAACAGAGTGGCTTCAACCCCACCTCTTTTAAAGATAAATTGATATCTATTGTTTAAAACTTCATAAAAAACCCAAAAACCTAGGATGTTTTTGAATGATTTATTGACTTTTCAGATTGTTCTTTAAGCTGTTTTTTAAACTTTAAAGGCAACACTGATAATGAACGCTTCCAAATGGTAAAACAGAAAATCCCCTTCAAATATAACCGGCCTGTAGAAGAGTGGCTGCAGGAAAAAGGTAACCGTCATTAAAACTTTCATTTTAAAATCATTTGATTCTAAACCCTCATTTTTAAAGCCTGCAAATAAATGTTCCTTAAATGATAATCGCCTGCTGCATAAATGACTGTTTTAATTTTCATTATAATTTGTGTCAGCTTCCACCTGCCATATGTTGATAAATCATGCTATAATACATTGCCATTAAAATACAGTTAAAGGGACTAACATCTAAGATCACTCTTAGTGTAACAACCACAAACAGGAAATTCCAGGAACTTTTAAAAAAAGAAATGTATTATGGCAATTTAACCACTGCATGACATTCTTTTTAATTTGTTTTAAATGATCACTTACCACAGTGTTCTAAAAGTTTCAAAACTACCTGTTAAACTTATATGTAATAGGGGCTGTTTTGGCTTTCCTTTCTTTTAAGCGCAGTTTAAAATGTTATGACTTGAATTTGTTATAAAATGGTTGTAACGTAATTAAACTGATTAAAACAAATGTTATGAGGACAACATTTTTTAAACATTTGTTTTTAAATATTAATGAGAGTGAGAGAGCTGGAGTCTGCCTTTGAATGTAAACTTTGAGTAGCAAAAGTTCAAATATGTCTATAGGTTATTTGGGTCTTAGTTGCTGACCTTGAAAAAAAGAAATGACATTTTTGAATGTGTGATGTGTAGGATGAATTCTGATCTCTTACATACAAGCAAAGTACAAGTTTTTAAAGCAGAGGGGAAAATGACCAAGGGTTAAGAAAGGCAAGTGACATCCTCTATTTTTGGGGGGTGGGAGGTAACAGGATGACAATTATATTCTAACAAAAGAGGGCAGCAATTGAACCCAATGTTAGTGTATATTGTATTTCTGTATTTCATGGAAGATCTGCTGGAAGGTGAGCTGTGACCTTCCAAAAAAGAAAATTTTCCATTTATAATGTCCAGGATAAACATACATAAATCATACTTTTAGACCACAAGACATCTCTTAAAATTTTGAGAGATTCATATAATAGACAAGAAGCATATTACTAATTATTCAACTCTGTGTATGTGTGTGTGTGTGTGTATGTGTGTGTGTATGGACAGACACAGGCACATACAAACATATAACCAGATTAGCATTTGAGAGTTCTAAGTTGGGTGGAAGTTAATAGGATCAACTAATGCTGAAAATCCTTACTGAGACTCAACCTTTTGCCCTATTTTTAACACTTGTGGTCTAATTAAAAAGCAATAAGGATAACTTTAAAAAGCAAATAATTTTGTTCAGTAAATACAAGTTTATAAAGTCCCTTTAACATTAAAGACAGTGATTGCCTCACCTTTTTTAAAAGAAAAAAAAATTAGATGCATGTCTGAGTCTCATGTGCCTGAGAAAACTTTTTGTTCTTTGCTGTTTTATTTTGGTAATCTTTTGTTTCACTCCATTGCCTCTTGAAATCTGAGTTTAACAGCATGCCAGGCATTTTCATTTTTGTAAACCATTATGAAGTCATGACTTGGCCTATAGTTCTTTTGATGATAGTATTTTGTCAGTAGACCAACAAAGAAAGCTGTTGGAGGGTTAAAATGCAAAGAGAATAAGAGGGGTGGTGCCATGACCTGATAATTGAGTTTGTATGGGTTGATAAATGCATAGGTAACTTAAGAAATCTATGCAAGATGGAGTTCTCTTGTATAATGATACTATGCATTAAAGAATGCATTTCTGACTTTCTGAAAAAGTAAGTGGTTAATGTTTATCCATTCTCTTCATTCCTTACCTGTCTCCCCACTCCCCACATCCCACCCATGTCCCCACCATCACCCTTTTCTCTTCAGGAACCATTTTAGAAACATGCCAAACATCCTTGAAAAGACAATAAGAAGGAATGGGCAAAGATAGATTGGTGATTAGATAAAAGCCATAGAAGCTACTTAGCATGGGTCTTAGGAGTAAGTACTGCCATGGGGAAGTGGGTGGGGTCAAAGGATTCCACAGTTCATTTTCTCACTAGGGTCTACTATTGACTGATTTTCTAACCTTACACAATCCATTTAACTTCTTTATAGATCAGATTTCCCAACTGAGAGAGGAGAAATAATACTACTTATTTCCCAAGGGTATTCTGAGGTTTAATTAATTAGTCTTTGTTCAACACTTACTGTAGCTGTGCAAGAACTTAATTTAACATGTGAACTTGGTGGTCAAATGAGGTAAGAATAATTTCTAAACTGACAAGATTTGGGGGGAGGGATAGGAGGATTTACATCTGAAACAAACCAAAAAAAGTTCTCCTATAAATCTTGAATTGGTGGTATAACATAAATACTAGGGAGATATTGATAGGATTGAGAAAATGAGATTCAATTTTTTTTCTTACTGTTTCAAATTACAAGACTAAAAGAGCCCAACTGACTGAAAAAAAAAAAATATGATTCAGCAAAGATACAAGTGAAATAGGCCAGGGAGTTAGTACGGTCTTCTTAGAATTCTATTAATGGATTATTTTTTAACAAAACATTCCCATATAGACGTGGGTAACAAAGAACTACAGTTGAATCTAAGGAATAAAATTAAACATATTTAGCTTTATGTTTAGCTCATTTAGCTCTAGAGAACATGGCAAATGAAAGAACAGACAGGCCTTATCTAACCAGACCATTAAGTGAATTTGGAGAGTGGAGTGGTAAATATAACTTGGTGAGTTATGACCAAAATCTTCACCACTCAAAGAGGTCTCTGCATCATACAAAGCTAAGAGAATGAAGTGGAATAGAAAGAGAGAGCCTCTATTGTGAATATGGTCCTCATACCCAGGATCAAATACTTGGGACAGAATTTTGGAAGTGTGTTGGGGGAGATAGGTACTTCAAGGGTAGAGCAGTCCTCACAGGATGAGGAAGATAGAATAGAAACTATCCCATGAAATGATGGAGGATATGAAGAAGTTTACTTTTGGATATATCCCTTGACCACAAAGGAATGGTTTAAAATCAGAGTAGGAGAGTAGGATGTAGGAACATTTGGAATAAAATAGTGGAAAAATCAGATAGCCTTCTATATTTGCTTTTCCTACCTCCATATTAAAGCTATATCCAAATTCAAAGGTCATAGAACTCTACTAGTATACAAGTTAAGACAAATTTACCTCTAGGTAATCTCTGGAAACCAGAGCATTGAAGAGAAAATCACTATTGCCAGCTTGTTCAGACTCGATTATAATACAGTACAATAAACATATATTAGGTGCCCACTATGTGTCAGGCACTGTGCTAAATGCTGGTAATACAGTTCTCATGAATTTTTTTTTCATTTGCAAGACCTAAGTGATTTAGAAATGAGAAAGAGAAAAATATGATGAGACACATAATGACATGATGAGAAATTGTTCAGTTGTTCAATGATAGCTAGAATATGGCACTTAAATAATGTTATAATCATCACCAATAATAACCATTAATTATACATTTCATCAGTATGTTAAATTTGTAAAGAATAGAGAAGTAGGTAATTCATTTCAAGTGATTTACAGACTTATAAGGTAAAATTCTTGGTACCCTAAAACTCTTGGGCTATCTTCCAGTATCAGAACCCACCTTTTGTGTAGGGGCTCAAGTTTGAAGGAATGATCATCCATTCATTCTTTCCCTCCACCTACTCCCTCTTCTATCCTATAAGGACTTCCTTTGTTTTTGCCAATGTGCCTTTGGTGTCATGCAGAGAACTGGCGTCAGAGACAGAAAGACGTGGTTTCAAGACTTGCCACTGGCACACACTGGCTAGGTGACCCTGGGCAAGCCACTGAAAATTTGTGTTCCAGTATTCTAAGAATATAAATTGTAGAGAAATTACCATTTTGCATTGGTAGGAGTTCCTGACTGAGGAACTCCCTGTTCTAATGAAATCACAAGTCTGGTTTAGAAAAAAAAATGCTTTGAGAACTGTTTGAAGCCTTATTATTATAGAGAAGTGGCACATGATAAAGGATACTCATTAGCATTTTTAGGTAGGGTGGGAAGGGATGAAATGACTGAGATGATTATGAGGTAACTATTCTTAACCCAATGCTATCTGGTTTTTATCCTGGAAATCATATTTCCTGTGAGAAATGAGAAAATCCCCCAGTAACCTTTACCTCTCTCCAGTCTACCCCCTTCATTTTCCTGACACTATCATTCATTGCTTTAATTGACATCCTTTATTTTTAAGGTCACAGCCAGAGTTGAGCTGTAAGTCAATTTACCACCATTATTTTCTTGTGAACATAGCTCATGTCTTCTTATTTCTATCTTTTAGGCCATAATAAAGCAGAATTTCCATCATTTTCTAATTGGAAAAGTTGTATGATGTGATGATTATTGGTTAGTATATATGGTAAATCATGAACCAAGGGAATACAAAGAAATAACATTTACTGGTCAGATAGCTCTATATTGACTTTATATAAATTTGAATATCTTAACTGAAATACACTCACATTCTTAAGTTAACAGGCTCTGTATCTTTTCAATTTGAGCTTTAATTGCTACTATCTTTTTGATAAGCCCTCTGACCTCTTTGAGTATTCATTAGTCATATACAGCTATAGTTCTATAAAATACTTCATGCAACAGGAATTTCTGATTATCCTTTTTTTTTGTTTTGTTTTGTTTTTTGCCTAGTTTTGGAATTTCTTATGACAAACATGATTATTTACTCAGTAAGAATGCATGCCCACCTACAGGTCAGAAACCAAGATTTCTTCTTCCTTAAAGGGAAATGGTAGGAAATATTTATTATCCCAGTGGATTCAGATTCTTAGCTAGTCAGCAGAAGAGATAATCACAGCACAATGTACCTTGGCAATGACTTCAAGACAGTAGTTTGCAGTATTAGATTTCTGTGATCCAATTTTCTCCTGTTCCCCACTCCCAGCTCCTCCAGGAAGCCTTTTTTGACCTTCAGTCCATTTTGATCAGGTAAGGTAAAGAGGAAAGAAATGTATGGAAATAATCCTGTTTCCTCCACCCAACCCCACTAGGCCGGCAGTTAACCATCTTCAACACTCAGGCTCAAATAGCCATTGGAGGAAAAGACAAAGGACGTCTCTTCCAAGGTCAGCTCTCTGGGCTCTATTACGATGGCTTGAAAGTTCTGAATATGGCAGCTGAGAACAACCCTAATATTAAAATAAATGGTAGCGTCAGGCTTGTGGGAGAAGTACCATCTCTCTTGGGGACAACGCCTACAACTTCCATGCCACCAGAAATGTCTACAACTGTCATGGAAACCACCACTACAATGGCAACCACCACTACTCGAAAGAATCGCTCCACAGCCAGCATTCAGGTAAGTCGTGTTCCTTTCTCCACATTATGTCTGCTTGTGTTTGTTGTGTCTTGGAGCATGTGAGTATTTTGGTCAATGAAGCTCTGAAGACTGATGGCTCTAAATTACAGTGTTTGTAGGAATTTTGCCTCAAAGATTCTCACATTAATAAGCCCCAGCAATAGAAAAAGAGACAGCCATCATGAAGAAAGTCATAAAAGTCTTATGGCACACATGGGTTAGGATTACTATCATATTTTTCACTGTAATAGCAGTACTGTTATTCAAAATGATCAACGGACAATGCTTTCAGCATGAAATTCTCCCTCATCTAACTTTATTGCCTAATTTTTGCAAATCACAAAAAGGGAAAAGAAGACAAGGGAAATCTATTATCATCTGGAAAGTAGAGCTTGATTCAGTCCAGTTCACATCCTCAACATAACTTTTTAAGAAATATGAATTTCTCATCACTGGGGGAATAGGCACTGTTAAATTAAGGGCAATTTATGCTAGAGGCAAAACTAATCCTTGAGGAATGCAGATTTTACTGTTACTATTCACTTGGGATTAATCACTTCTCCCTCTGCTGCACACTGTGTTTCCTTTGCTTTGACAATAATCCAGGTTACATATGAGCAGGAAATTTGAAAATCTTGGGTTTAACTATGCTAAGTGTTCTTGGCATGGTCATTGCATTTTCTTTTATTTATTTGAAAGTAATTATGCCCAAGGTAAAGCTTAAAGCTCAGCTGGTTCCCTTAACATTTCATAAATCTCATCTGTTGGGGGTAGGAGGTTAATTGATTTATTAGCTTCAAATACATTGGCATTAAATAAAAAGTTTCAGCCACTTGTGGGAAAATTTCCCCCAGTCTAATTAACGCTCATAGAAAATTCAATACCTCAGTGCTTCTCTGGAGACCCAGCTGAGTCCGATCTTTGACATCACCTTTTCGTTAACGTTGGTGGATGCGGTGAACCTAGAATGAGTCACCAGTTAAGCAACTGGTGATTTTGCTTCTTGTACAATAAAGACTATGTGACCAAAGTAGAAATGATTTCTCTCTCTTCTTTGCTTTTTGAAAGACAGTTTCCAGAAAGGTCCTTGATAAAAGGCTTCAATATGGGCTACAAGTATTAGCAGACTAGATTTAAACACTTAGGAAAGGTCACTAAGATCAGGTCTTTCCTGGTCACATGTGCTGACATGTGTGTACATACTTACATGCATTCTCCCACAAATTGTTTCTTTTCTACTGATATTAAAGCAATAGTTCCTGACATTTCAGTCTTCCCACTGAAAGGAATATAAAAGGCAATATGTATTTCTATTATGACTCCCTGTAGCTTGAGAAAAGTCTTGTTTATTGTCAGTGGAAGGATTGTTCTTTTGGTACAAGTCTTGGCAGAGTTGTTTGGTTTCTGTCAGAATACATTGTCTTAGCTCTGTGTGAAGCAAAAGAACAAATGACATTTCTAAGGGATGGCTAATCTCACAGTCCCTTCAAAGGCCAAATACCCACTGACCTCAGTAAGACTTACTGTTGTACTCAGGGATTAGACAGAAACAAACAGGATCCCTAGGTATGCCCTTCAGAGGGCAAATGCATTAGCACGAACAAATCTGGGCACCTACTGAATGGTTCCCCCAAACATATAAAAGACAGGGCCTCTGGGGAAGGAAACATTGAAGAACACTGTGCCAAAACCTTGCCAATGACTCCATATCAGGGGTTCTTAACCTGGCATCTGTGAATTTGCCTTTAAACAAGTATTTTGTTAACTCTATTTGAATAATTAGTTTCTCTAGCAATCCTATGTGTTTGTTTTATGCATTTAAGAACATTATTCTGAGGAATTCATAGACTTCATCAGACTGCCAAAGGAATTCATGTACCTGCCTCACTCCCAACCAAGAAAAAGTTAGGAACCCCTGGTCTAAATATTCCAGGATAAGGAGCAGCTAGGTGGTGCAGTGGATAGAGCACCAGCCTTGGAGTCAGGAGGACCTGAGTTCAAATTTGGCCTCAGACAATTCACACTTACTAGCTGTGTGACCCTAGGCAAGTCACTTAACTTTGATTGTCTCACAAATAAATAAATAAATAGATAAATAAATAAATAAATAAATAAATAAATAAATAAATAAATAAATAAATAAATGTTCCAGGACTTCAGGGATGTGTCATTTCATTGAGGTGAGGTCTGCCTCCACAGATGCGGTTTAGTAGATGATATTCATCCACAACTGTAAACAAAAATACTCATCATCTGATGTCCTACCTTCTGATAATGAGCACTTGTCTAAAATTCACTTGTCTAAAATGCTCACCAGTTGACTGACACATGATCCATTGTGCTAGTCTCTACTCAAAACTTTTCCAGGTTGATAGGACTTTCCAGAGATGGTACCCCATTGTTATAGTCAGAAAGTTGGGAACACTTCCATGCCATGATAAGGCATTGCAGAAGAATGGATTCAATGCCAAAGTGATTCCAGCATAACAGAATGCAACTATTTTAGCAGAAGCATGGTATATGAAGCTAGAAAGGACCTTAAAAGTGATCCACTCATTTTACAGATAAGGACACTGAGTCACATAAAAGTCATATGCTTTGCTCAAGGTATGTATAAGTATAAGAATCAGGATTTGAACTGAGTTCCTCTGACTTCCAATCTAAAATTCTTTCCACTTAACTGTGCTACCTCTCTAAATAGACAATGGAAAGAAGCCTTTTTTATGAGTCTTTTTTTCTGGCATATAATTCTTTTCCCCTTATCATGATAATAATTGGCTTATATCTATATGCATTTTCCTTCACTTTTATCATGAATCTCAAAGTGAATGAAAATAATGTTAAGATTTTCTGCTTTTATGGGTATTTACATACATGTTCACAGTGACAGTGGAATGCACAGAAGCATGAAAGAATAAAGCAACTAACTACGTAAAAACCAGGCAATCAATTATTAAGCATTATGTGTCACTATGCTAGATGCTATATAGTCAAAGGGCTGGTTCCAAAACCTTGTCAAAATTATAATTATTAGTAATTGTAATAGCTGCAATTTTATGTAATACTTTAGTTTTTACACAGTGTTTTACAGATACTATCTCATTTGATCCTCACAACAACCTGGTAAGGTAGTTGGTATTATTATCTCCATTTTATAAATGAGCAAACTAAAGTAGACAGAAGTTAAATAACTTGTCCATAGTCACACAGCTAGTAAGTGTCTGAGGCTGGATTTGAACTCAGTTCTTCCTAATTCCAGGTCCATTGTTCTATCATTTACTCCAAAGAAGTTAAGTAGTAGAGGGACTATGGTCCCTTTAATATTTATAGTGAATTTAGGATGCCTTAAAAGAAGCACAGTATCCATTTTGAAGATGATCACCTCATTGTACTATACCTTGGATAGAAATTGTGACCAATTCCAGGCACCATTAATTTAAGAAGGTTATTGGCAAGTTAAGTTTATCCATGGACAATAACCAGGATAAGAACATGGAGCCCATGACTTAACACAGGAGGGCTTATTGAAAACACTGGAGATGAGAAATAAATGAGGAAATGGTAACAAGCAATCTTTAATGTAATATGAAGAGACAGGTTTCTTCTGATTGACCCCAGGGGATAGAAGTATGAACAGTGGGTCAAACTTGCAGAGAGCAAAATTTTGTTTTGATTTGCAGAGGAAACTTTCTTATTAGAAAGCTTTCTAAATGTTATTAGAGCTGTCCAAAAATGGAATTGGTAGATAGTGAGTTCCTCATCACTATAAATCTTCAATTAAAAACCAAGTGAACGCTTCCTTCTTGGAGGAATTCAAGAATTTCATAAAGAAGCATGCTATAGAGGGGTATCTTGCTCACATTATTTCTATTCTTTCAAGGCATAAGGAAATCCACCGAAGCAACTAAACTCATAAGAAACACATTGTTTTGCTAGAAAGAAGTGTCATGTGTCATTCTTGTTTCTCTTCCCTCCAATACAATTAATAGCTATGGTATTTTTTTTCTTAATCTGTGATTTCATCAGTGAAAGGAACTCCCAAAGTATATTGGCAACTCAAATGTACTTATGATCTTATTCTAGACCATTCTATTTCTGGCTTACTTAGAGTCAAGTTCTTTGTCCATGGTCAAATAAAAGTGTGTGTTATTATATGTGTCAGAAGCAGGACTTGAACCCAGGTCTAAAACCATGTGTACTAAAGAACAAGTGATGCAGACTAATTAGGCTGGCTCCCTTGTTCTAGAAGGAGTAGGAGAGTTCTATCCTGGACTTCCATCCACTAAGCCATGTTCCTTTTGCTTTAAAGAAAATGTATCTAATAAAGAAATGTTCAGTCAGTTTTTCAGCCATGTCCAACTATCTCTGACCCTATTTGGGGTTTTCTTGGCAAAGATACTAGAGTGGTTTGCCATTTCCTTCTTCTGCTCATTTTACAGATGAGGAAACTGAGGCAAACAGGGATAAGTGACTTGCTCAGGCTCACATAACTAGTAAGTGTTTGAGAACAGATTTGAATTCAGGAAATAAAGAAATGAGTCTGCAATATAAGGGCCAGTTTAGAAACACCAGCTGAGAAAGCTGTACTTTCTTTGCTTTTATGTGCTGCTTCTAGGCAGCCTCAGAGTGGGAGAAAAGATGAATTCCTCATTAGCACTTTTGTCAGCAATTGAGATCTTCCTACTACTATAGCTTAATTGCCCAGACTCCCTGATTGTGCTAACACTGGGATCCTCAGAAGGAGATTTCATTCAAAATTGGTGGTTTGGGCTTTCACTCCCTTGATGATAACATCTGACAGGAATTACCACCTCAGGGATTCCCTAGGCATCCCAGTACCACCCTAATAGTCATTGAGTCATCTTTGAATTGAGATGAGCTAAATTCCACTGGCATCTACTCATAATCTTGAGTTTTTATATAGTTAGGAGATGGCAAGAATGAAAGACAGGACCTTTGTCAGTACAATAATGAAGTTCCTATAAGTAGTTTAAAAAAAA